GGTTTAGATTTCATCATCAACCAACTTGAAGATTTCTTTCAACAGTGCTTCTTGAAAGTGCCCTCTCCTTTCAATCATGTCTGGGGTTCAAGGCTACTCTTGCCGCTTTCTGACACAGTGAGAGGTGAAAGCAAAGCAGAGTGTTATCATTGTTTGCAGTTTAGATGTTGTCTAAGTGGCACGATGCATAACAAGTAGGAAGGAATGCAACAGTTTGTGATGTGTTGGTGGCTTGCACAGATGTTCAAAACTGTTAAGATAAAAATACTTCTTTTACGGTGTGACTTCCTTTAGCACGACTGTACAGAGGCCCTGCAAAGCCTCAACACCAGCAGCTGTGAACAGAGGGTTTCCCCACATGGCAGAGGGCACTCCTGGGATGCTCATTGTAAGCGCCAAGGACAGGGATTTCCAGCCCCATGCCCTGTACCAGTGGTTCCAGCTGTGAGCCCAGCAGAGGTGATGCTTCCAACCTGGAACATGCCTCTTCCTTACAGAAACCTGCAACTTCTGATCAAGCTTTTACAAATCAACTGCTAATGAAGTTATAGACGGGCTAAATTGTGATTCAGAGGTAGGAGTCGAATTCATGTTACTTTTGGTACGTTCTGTTTTGGAGAACACCGAAAGAGACACCTGAAGCAACAGTTACTTTTGTGGTGGCTCCTACCCGACCAACAGTGCTCCCATCCTGACTTCAGCACCGTCACACGGGTTTGTTTTGCAGGAAACGGAGGTAAAGTCAATCTGAGGCTCAGGAACCTCTCGCTGTTACACAAGAGTTGAAAGACTACTGTGGGTTGACATCCACTTTTGAAAAGCTTGTATTCAGATTAACTGTTTGGCTTAAGTGATGGCTCTCATCATTTCACATGCACAAGCTACCTATGAGAAATTGTGTCAAGAGTTTTACAGCAAGATCTAATTTTGTAAGATCAAAAAGACTTAACATTAATAAATTTAAATACTCTTTTAGTAATTTTTGAAGCTATTAATTCTCCAAAACTTGCAGGTGACCATGTGCATTTCTGCTAAACTTGGCTTTTTAGCACTTACTGTAATGATTCTCCTACATGTTTTCACAGGGGAACTCTGCAAAAGTGTTTTTCAGTTTTTGATAGTAAACGCCATTTTTCACTCTAAGAGCAAACCCCTAATTCAAGTATCTCTCCAATACATTTCCAGCCATCATCAACCTACCAAGCATTTTCTCTCAGCCATCAATAGCTGTCCAGAAAAACTACATATAAAACTATAAATTAATAAGTATCCAAAGGAAAGCAAGTTGTCTTCACCTACCTTGAAATATTACATACAATGTAATAATGCCATTTTTACCCCAGATTTCCCTTGGGATTTTGTTTATCCAAGCCATTGACAGCTGAATATATACTGCATTCTTCTCTGTTCTAGGAAAAAGCAAGTTCTTTTGAGAAGTTAGTCACAGAGCCATGTGCTCTGAATTAATGCTTGCAGTTTTACTGTCACGTTGACGTCAGTGTTGCTTAATCGGAATTCCTGGTTAAGAAAAAACATTAAAGATAAAATCTGAATTTCAGCAAAGGTTCTGTATTACCACAGCTCATTTACCTCCTCACAGAAAGCCCCATTATAATTACAGCAGCTAATTGTTGTATGGCAGCATCAGCACATCTCTCAAAGCACTGGAAAAGATGGCAAGATACTGTCGATAACCTGAGTCAGTGCAAAGCCACAGCAGGGGCATGGGGCAGGAAAGGTTTTCTTGATAAATTTCTAAGCTATTCCATAAAACTGGCATGTGTAAAACACACAAAAACAGTGAGAGGGAGAATATTCACTCATACTTCAGTTCCATGAGGAATAAGGTTGATCTCACCAGACTGGCCCTTCCCATTTGACCACATGGAGAAGACAACCTTCAACCACCCTTCACAGAGCAGGCTCAAGAGCTCAGGCCGATCTGGCCATGCTGCACCTGAAAGGCCATGAAGAGCTGAGGGGACAGCAGTGCAAGTGATTCTCCAGCCTGCTCCTCAGCATCTTGCCTTCCTGCTGCCAGGAATCAGTCCTGCACAAAGTGAGGTTAACAAAGAACAGCTCACTGTTCACACCGCCACGGGGAAACGCTGCAAGAGCCAGAAACATCTCCAGCTCCTACTTTGCTGCATGAAGAGCTGACCTTTCCTTCAGGTAGGCCTTACACATCATATGCTGGAAGTGTCTGCATTGACCTCCCACCCAGTTCTAATTCAATTCTAAGAAACCATTGGATTTCATTTTTTGTTAGCTTCAATAAAATCAAACATCAAAGCTAACTTTAAACACCCATGTCTCCAGTTAATAGCAATACCTTGAAAACTTTGACAAACTATTTGTCCTGTAGCTTAAGGCTGCACATACAGCTAATGTAAACATGGGAATGCCACAGTCAAAACTAGCCAGACAATGATAAAAGTAGTGTGCAAATAATTGAAAAAGAATAAATTATCATGAAAATCTTTTACTGTAAGGCAGTGAGAAAAAGCCAAATACATAACAAAAAAAAAATTAATCTATGAGTTTTCCTTATTTTAGCCTCTGACCCTAAATCAGGCATTTTCTAAACAGTTCCAAGAGCGCATTACTAAAACCCCCATAAGCCTCCCACATATCTAGAGCAGCAAATAGTTCTGTTATTGCAAGTCAAATTAGGAGTACAGATTTTACCTTCTAGAAGCTACTAGAAGGAAGTTACTGAATACTGACACCTGAATATAATCCATAGCTCTTCATTCCAAGTAACTCTTTTGTAAAAATGAGCTCCCAAAGCATCTCTGTCCTGCTACAAACCTCCTTTTCGAAGCACTTGTACTTCTACCTCATTTACTTGCATCCTTCGTTTCTGTCTAAGAACTCAGCCCAGTATCAGCATCCATGGAATTTCTTCTGTTTCTTTAAGATACTGAAAATCAAAGTAATTTAAAAAAAAATCTTCTCAATTCAAGCTGTTAAAATTTGACGACTGTGCTAATTATTTTTTTCACATTTAATCTGAATAGAACCCTGATTAGTGGCATTTTAAAAACCTAAACCTGCAGGGCAGTTATTCTGTCATCTAATGGGCTTTTAACCCTTTAATCTTCCCAAGTGATTACAGTTTAAATGGATCTTTTAAAGTATTTATCAAGAAGTTACAGTAAGGGATACAGTATCTTTTTAAAAGGTAACAAGCTCTAACATGAAGCATTTATGCTATTCGCTTGCACATTATTTGGACAGTGTGCTTGCTTCCATTTCAGCTCAGGAAGTACTATTTGTGACCTACTGCTTTTCTTGGACAGTTCCCATACGGTATTTACACCCAGAACCCTCTCCTTACCAGGATTTAGTTTTGTAACTAGGTTTTACTTTTCTGTACTAATTTTACTCTTAGTTCTAAGCACAATTTGGTCAATCTCTTTCCCACACAGGGCTTTGCTGAGCTGCACGCCAAGTCCTGCAGCCTCCGAGTTGGATGCAGCTCATCTAGATTGTCTCTCTCACATGACTTGGGTCAAGGTTAGGTAACAAACCATCTGCTGAGGCAAGCCAGTAAAAAAGTTTGCAGTACAAGCCAGTAAAACGGTTTGCAGCGTTAACTGAACAAGCTATTTCAGGCAAGATACACTGGCTCATAGGCAAATACTCCCAATCCACTCCCCTTTATTCCCTTGAAGAGTACAGAAACCCTCTCTGTGAGTGCACACACGAGCCATAAATAAGCCTGTGGGAATTGTCAGTCCATGTCTGTCCTGAAAAATCCCTATATGCATGAGTTACCTGAATGAATGAACTCTGCAGAAAGGCACAAACAGGAAAACACAACCTTTCTGTGGGGAATTCATGAATTTTGAGTCATCATGTAAACCTAAGAACCAAACTGTAATCTCTTACCAAATAAAAGAGCAAAATTAACATACTTTAATTTTATAATCAATGCATTTATACAATGAATTTATATAAACAATAGATTTTATTCCCTCTCCAATTAAAATATATTTGTTATCCTTAATAACACTCGTGTTAAATTAGTAACAGTTGAGTTACAAAAAGAAAAAAAGCAATAGAAAGCAACCTTCTGTTGCTATTATTTTTCTGCATGCGAGAATCAAATCTGCTGATCAAGGAGAAAGTGGGTTGCACTTTTAACTATTCATAACATTCCACCAGCACATAGCCACAGTACTCATGTAAAAAAATAGAAAAAGTAGACAGTAAATTTCTGTACACATTAAATGTGAAACTTGCATCATCTGAAAAAAATACATTCTGCATAGTCTATATTCTGAATCTGTGTGTGTAGGACTCAAAGATAAAAAACACATACACAGAACATACTAGTAGCTCCACAAAATAAAACAGTCACATAATTAAGCAGAGTGATGGCAAACCAGGTGAAATTAAATACAAAGCTGTGATATTTTGTTAATTAGAAAATTGAGGATCAGTCCAGTAAGAAATAGTTTATTAAATATTTTGAGGTGACTCTCACTAAAATAGTCCCTAAAAAATGAAGCGTTTTTGGGTAAGGGACAGGATTGAGACGGCTCCTTCACGAAGGGCACAATGTAGGTAAAATCTCCTTCGTTTCTCTTGAGTCCTCTTTTAAGGAATGAAACTGATGTACACATATCTAGAAGGGTTTTTGTAAAAACCAGCCAATTTATACATCAAAGCCCCCCCCCCCCCCAAAAAAATGGAGAGACAAACTTACACAGTAGTAGCAGAGAGCAGAAGGTGATACGCTGCAGCAGCAGCTTTACATATATTCTCTGAATTATGTCCCAACCAAAGTTACAGGAATAAAAATTTTCAATCATACAAAACATCTTTGAGAAGTTAAAATCTCAGCTATAATACACATGTATATAATAATATTTTAATTCACTTATTTACAATTGTTACATAGGGCCAGACTCTGTATACAAGTATTTGCATGAGCTTCAGTCATTAACGAGTCCTACCAAAGTGAAGCAAAGGAATGACTACATAAATACAGCTTTGCATGCCTTAGGATTTCCCAAATCAGATTTATGAATTCAAATTACAGAATATATACATTTGTTTTCCAATATTCAAAATTCACTTAAGGAAAACAATTTTTAAACTGTTAAAAGATATGTAAAGTTTGACAGCAGGAAATTCTCAATGCACAGCCATGTGATTACAGGCTGAAATCGTAATGCATTGTTTGCATTACATGACACCTAATTAAAGCAAATAAACCAGGAAACATTAATCCACAGTGCTGTGTTTTTTACTAATACATAAAAATTTCCTGTTTTTTCATTATATTTGCACGACACAGAGGGCATTTATCAAGTGCTTCGGCACACTCCTTACAGGCAATGAGGTGGCCACAGGGAATGAGGACGACTGATATGTCTTTAGCCATACAGATTTTACAGAGCTTTTCTTCCTGCAAGCGTCTTAGCTTCTCTTCCGTGCTGAGATCTATGGAAATTAAAAACATAAAAAGAACATGGCCGAATCTCTCTTTTTTGCTTTACACACAAGGACAAGGTTTTCTTTGTCTGATTTAAAGGTCACACCTTTAAAAAAGAAAAAAAAATAAATTACAAGAGATAGGAAACCAAGCTACAGCATGGAATCCTCTGCTTCTCCTTTCCCCCATCTCATTACGTCTCCCAGGCCAATGCCAGCAGGGAGTTCAGCTATCTGTATTTATTTGCAAGAGCTTGAAATCTCTATTAAATTTAGATACACGTATTTCAATCAGGAACCATTCTTTTCACAGACTTCCCATTGACAGCTTTCCCCAAACTTGAACAGAAGCTGCAGGAAGAGCTCATTAATACTGGTTAAGTAATTTAATTTATTTTTTCAAAAAAAAAGAATTAAAAGAATGAGGATGTTATTTCCCTTCCTGCCTCCATTTTCAAAATGCCCATACTTCAAAAGCTTGTAAAAGTGTAATACAGAAAGAATCAATTTTGCATTTTACATGAGCTCTTTATTATTCCAGTGTGCCCCATTTGAAAGCACAAACTTCAAACGCCTTCCCCTGCCACTTGGGGAAAGATCTGCACAGCCAGCCACAGAAATAACACCCATCTCCATTGTGAGTTTTCTCCCATAATATCCATGAAAAATATTATTAAAAGAGTAGGCTGGTAAGATATCTGTCTTTCATGCCAACCAGATGGTCTTTTCCCTCCCTAGGAGTTCACCCATATGCTCATCTTACACTACAGTCTCCCGAGTTAGAACTCTTGGGTTTGGTCTACTTGCACTGTACCACAGTGGCTTTCAGAGCGTTACTTGCAAGTCCCAGCATTGCTGGAACACAGATAATAGAAAAGAAACACCATCTAGAAGTACACTTTTTCTTATCATCCAAGAAGGCAAATGCTTCTGTCCCACACAAAATTTTATACTGGAAAATAAATAATGCCCTACTAAAATCTTTTTCATTTTGAGTATACTGAATATTTGACAGTATGCTGCTGTGCTGGTTTCATTCTGCCACCACAGTCCCACCATCTAAAGTTATTCCTCCTTTCATTTTTAAATGTCATTTTCACAGTAATTTTGGCTTTTCAGTCAGCATGAATAACCTTTTCCAGAAGCACACCAGACTATTATTTACATCGTATACACTTTGAGGTATTAATACTACTTATTTTATAGATTATATTTATAAATGCTGCTATGCTGAGATATTTTAACACCCTCTTTGTTCAGGTTTGGTTTTTTTTAATGTCCAAAAATAAACCTCTTGAGCAAAATTTTTTACCTAACTTTCACTCTCATAAGTGAGCAGTGTGTGAGAGATTTCTAAACCAGGTTTTGTATGACTGCTGTTATTTGCAACAGCTATCATTCCCTGGGATGAAGCTGCTTGACTGTCTTCCTACCACCCCTTTAACTGTCTTGTCTTTTTATTGCTTGGTATTTGTGAAAAACATTGCAGGAATGCGCAATACCATAAAAGCTACTTAAGCTTTCTCAGCTACCTAGTCCTTGCCATTTAACAGGCCAACTCTTCCTGCCTTGCAAAAAGCAGTGATGATTGTAGCAGTTCAGTATTCTTCACCATTCATTCCCCAGGACTACTGACTCAATACTTGATGCACACTTACTAGCTATAAGAAGACGACTACATCCTATGCATACTACTTTCATGGTTTACAATCTTTATTTATTCAGCTACAATTAGATTTCACCTAAAAGAAGAAAATTCATTCCACAACTGTTCAGAAGCAATGGAAGAGGGTCCTCCAACAATTTGTCTGTCATGCTTTAATTAATTTAAAAATGTTATAAGGGTATTTTTAAAAGTAACCATTTTCTTTACATGCAAATATAGATAGTCCAAAATGGAGTGAGGGGATGTGGGGGGTATCAGATACCTGTAGGAAGTACTGTCCCTTCAGCAGCTTCTGTCTAGAAGTGAAATATAAACAGACAAAATTACAATTCTGAAGAAAGTAGAAAACATACACAGTTACAAGACAGAAAGTAGCTATTTGACCTCAGTTATTTTATTGACTAACATAACTAAATCTGAACAACTGCAATTAATGCTGTTAAGTCTATTTTACATTTTCATTTTAATCCATCCTTGCTATAATTACATGTACATGATTCTTGGTATATGGAAGAACTATAAATGACATCAGTTTCACTTTCTAGTGACTGCATACAAGTTTAACAATGCTCTACCAACAAGGAAAGAAAAAATATCTACTACACTTGAATAAGGAAATTACGCACTGTGCACCTTAGGTACCCAGGCTATCGAACCAATGGCACTTGTCCAGGACTCCATATACTAGGTCCCCTACCTATGACCCACAACCTAGCTAAGAACTGAGAGATCTATAAACTCTGAATAACAAAATCAAAACATATTTTGATGTCTTTTACTTTCTGGTAATGAAAGCAGCAGCAGGAGGATTAAATGATACAGATAGTAACAATAACTTCATATTAAAATTATGTTGTTTTCTCTTTTAACAAAAGGATAAATGATTAATAAGCAAGACACTTACTGTTGAATCCCTACATCCATCTCTTAAGTGAACGTTATTTATAAATTCTATCCCCTTTTCCTTTCTCACAAATCTGCACCTATAAATGAAAAAAAAAATAGTTATAATAAAACTGCATGAAAAGCAAACAAAATCTGACTACATCACTTTGGAAAGCTTTGATACCTTTCCTGTATCATACACAATGGTTGCTTTTGAAATCTAAATGTTTAGTCAACATCAGAAATGTCATTTAATGTTGGTTCTTTTAGTCTTCTGCAATAAAAGAAATGCAGTCACTGGTCAGACAGGTGCCTTATGCACCTTCTTTCACTATTTCCCAACCAGTCCTAGCCACTGGGCAGAGCTGTTCCCTACCAGAAGATTTAGGGGATGCTGTAACTCCTCAACATTAGTTCTCTGCCTTCATCAGTTACTTCATCTTCAGCAGTCCATGGATACAGACAGCATGCTGTGAGACTGATACACTGCCACTGAAGCTGATGTGCAAACAAATGCTCTGTGTAAGACAGTTAATGATCTGAAAGTAACCAAACCTGACATCATTTAAGCAACCTAAAACAAAATCCAGACCATGTAAGAGTGAATCATAGAAGGAAATTGCATCTTATCCATTCACTGCACCAAGCCAAAAGCTTGAACAGCATGTCTTTCAAGTGCTTGAGACTAATAATGAAAAGCTGCCTGTACCACTATTGAAAAAAGGATCAGCTAATGCATAAATACTAACTTCCAGCGAGCCTTTCACCACAGAAGACAAATCTGTCAGTGAATGCGCAAAAGACATGTTTTATCAACGTTATACAAGTAACTAAGTCTTTGTACTTGGACAGCTTTTACCCACCTGTAAGAAACAATGAGTCATGTACTATTCCTCCTTTCCTCAAGACACATTTTAGACAAAATTGGCACTCTTTCTAAAAACAACCTCTGGGCTGGGAATTGTCAACCCTTTAAAATGATGAAGTGTGTTTTGAATTGAACACCACTACTGACTTCTTCAGGTCTGCCTGCACCATGACAGAAGTTCAGTCATTTTTTATCCTAACCTAAGTTACAAACTTTGGCATTTATGAAGCTATTAAATAACAGTTAGAATGTAGTGCTTGGATAATAGAGTGGGGTGGGGGGGAAATCAGATACATGTTAATAAAGCTTCATGATTCTGCAGGCTGAGACATCAGTTAAGTTCAGACACAGAAATCTCTTCCCTTTAGGAATTCCTACAAACAAGCTGACAAGCACACTGACCTAGAAGCTACTCAGAAGGTAGTACTCAAGACAGCCTTTCAGACTGATTACCATTACCTCTAATGAGTTAGTCTGCCCTCAACCTCTCAAGATTTAGTTCTTTCCCACCTGCTTTGAGAACTCTCTCTTACCTTTCAAAGACAGCATTAGGTTAATGTCCTCTTTTGAGGCCCCCAGTATAACATTAAGGCATATGTTCATGTTTATACATGTAATAGCAGGACTACAGAAGGTAGAACAGATGGAACAACAAAAATAAGGACACCATGCAAAAAATGCCTTAAAATCTTTTCTACTTATTGGAAAGGAAAAACATAAACCATGGAAGGTAACTGATAGTCTTTGGTGCCTACATGACAAGAATGAAGGAGAAAGAAGTGGAGGAGGGCAACTAAGAAAATTAAAATTACTTTCCTAACTCTGAACCATGTTTAAGCCACAGTCAACCTTCCAAAGCCTTCATTAGTGTGCTCTGTCATTAGAACATAATATACTGTAAATAAGACTCAGGAACGCAACGAGAAAACAATAAAAATACCTTACCCAGGAAACCATTTGGCATGCTGTTCCCATGGGTCTTCATTCTCCTTCCATTCCTGCAATCCTCCACCACAGTGGAAACACAGAACATGATCACCATTACCTGAGGAAACACCCAAGAATGAAGTTACGTACTTCTAGTAGGCATAACAGCAAGTTTTTAACCAAAATGTTCCTTTATTAAGAAAAAAAGGATACCGATTTTATTGATTAGCAATTGCAACTAAACAGAACTCCACTTTAAAGGGTGACACACAATGTATGGTTTGAAACAAATGTCCAGGAGAGGCTTGAGCCTGTAATATTCCTGAATTTTATTTTAGCAAGTAATTACACAGGTAGAAAGCAAAAGCTAAAAATAATCGATTACGAATATCTCAATCTACTGCTAAACATGCCATGAAGTCTATCACAAAGAATCAAGGATGTTTATGTGCCTTTTTGGTGTCCTCTGTTTCACTACTAAGATTAACAGGCTCCATGCAGAAGTAGCAGAACTGACTGAGGAGGTGTTAGGAGAAACCACACTCTGTTCTAGCACTGTGCCTACTGCAGTCAAAGCCTGTGCCAGAAACTGCACAGATATTGTGCTTATTGAAAAGAGACGAGGTATAGATAGATTTTTCCTACAGAGCTAAATCATTCTTAGGCCACAGGAAGCAGAGTTTTCACAGAAGTCACTTGAACAGCCACTGGATGAGGTAAGCTGGTGCTCATTTAGTATTCCTCCACAATACAGGTATCACTTGGCTGTGAGAAGCAGGCAGTTTTAGGAATCCAAGAAATTTACAAACACAGTTCTATTGGGTATAAATATTGCCCATATTTCAACCATACAAGAATATATCAAAGCTTTTATTTATGGCCACAAGTAAAATAAACTGAATCAGATTGAAACAATTCTTCTGAGAGCTACTGAGAGAGAAGTCAATTAAGATGAGAGCAAGAAATTATCCCAGATAATCTAATAGGAGTAACACTTTGCACTCATACAGTAAAAGCTCTTCTACCGGAGTCACTGTCATCATAAAGCTTTTACAGCAGGTAGTATCGGTACTTGCCAGTTTGGGGTGTCTGAATGCTGTGATAGCTCAAACATGTCAGCTAAATACAATGGCACACAACCTGGACTGTCTTGTTTATAGGCTTCTGTACAGCCCACACACCCACTCTGCAGACCAAAGTTAGACAGCAGACAAGAAAAACATACTTTGCTGTTTTACTGTTGAAGATAAATTTATGACCAAATTTCTACTTTTCTATTAAAACCACAATATAATGTATGTTATTTTAAACAAGAATTTTGAAAAGCAGTTTACAAGGTAAAGAAATTCTAGCAAATCACTGCATATTAGAATAAAAAAAATGCTTATTTTTTCCGTAACAATACACTTGTATAGAATTTCTTTGTAAAAGACATCAGCCACTCTAAGGCTTGGCTTACCTATACTATAGAACCCAGCTTCAGCAAGCTGCTCCTTGTCAATAGGATATACCCAAGTTAAAAACGTTTGTAAACGCTTTCCATATTTTGCCATAGATGGATTCCTTGGATACTGGGCATTGTTCAGACCACTTCTCCCAGTCTCAGCAAGAACAGATTCACCTGGAACATTCCCAACATTCCGGCCCAGGACATAAAGGCATTTGGGGAAATGCCTCTGGTGTTCTGACCATGCTCTGTCACCAGGTTCCCAGTTTGTCAGTTTTCCACCACAACAAAAACATGCCACTTTATCACCAACACCTGTATAATAGAATCCAGCATTAGCCAATTCCTTTGGTGTCAACTGGCCATTGAGGGGCCAGTTGTGGAAAGACTTTAATCGTGTCTCTTCGCTGCACATAGCGGGGATTTTAGGATAGACGTTATCTGACATATCCACAACCTGTCTAGTCCTCAAAAGGTAATCTGCCTCCACATCAGATGTGTCATCCAGAGCACATAGGAGAGCTGAATTGCTGGAACCATTTTCAGTTCTATGCTGGTAGTTCTGCGCGAGAGGATGCACATTAGTTTCCAAAAAAGTAGATTCAGTAATAAATTTGCAATCTGGGGAGAGCTTTTTGTGTCTCTGAACTGCAGAATCCCCAGGCTCCCATCCTTCCACAGTTGTATGGCAACTGAAGCACTTTACTTTGTCACCTTCTCCAGTATAAACAAAGCCAGCTCGTGCCAGTGCTGTTGCTGAAACTGGACAGCCAAGAGGAAATGCAACAAAACTTCCCAGTCGGTAGTGTTCCTGTGCCCATTCCTCATCACTGTCAGTGTCTGGAGCAGCACAAGCTTCCGATTTATCTACGACTTTACATGTCATCTCTTCACAAGTACGGCTCTCCTTCCAGATTTCCTAAACAAAGGATAAACATTTTAATTTCACAGAAGAATGGATCATTCCCATATGCAAGCTTGGAAATCTGCTAGATTAAACTACCCATCCTTTATGTTTAAAAATAATTCCTCTTCCCTCCCATCTCACCCTTGCCCACCTCCTTGGCCACACAGAGGCAAACACCAGAAAATTACAAACAGAAAAATCCATAAAGGGAAGAAGATCATGAAGTTTTACAGGCCAATACAGATTTACCTGGAAAACACAGGTTTATACGTTTATAGCTTTAAAAGCACGTTCTACTTCTTAATAAACAAACACTGCAAGAATGAAATAAAAAAAAAAAATTAACAAAAGCTCTGGGCAAAACCTGCCAGAAGGCTTTTGAAACTGAAATAAGAAGTGACAGAAGTTAAAATACTGATCTAAACCAGACCACACTTGCAGGATTTTACAGCTCAGTTCTGAAACACAACTGCCTTTGCTTTTCTCCATATGAAGGCCATGACCACCATGCCCATTACAGATGGACTGGTAAAACCACCATCAAAAAAGTAGCTACTTTTGGACTTCTGTCATCTTGTACAGCCTTTTAGCAAAATATCTCAAGTAATAAACTTATCAGATGTTTCACTGGGGCATTTTACCAAAGTGCTGTGCTCTCCTTTTAAGATCGGTGTCTTGGACTACCCAGCAAAAGTGATCGTACCCAGCACACTGCTTCCACTTTCCTGCCCGTGCCTATGCTATCAAAAGCTCCTCCACGTCTGCCATCACCTCAGCTGCTCTTCCCTTCCTTCTCTGAAGGAACATCATTCCCCTTATTTCCTGCCCCACATTCCTATTCCTGCCTGTACTTTTCCAGGGTGAAAACCAACTGCAAGTCTTGCCTGCGCCCTTCTGCAACAGAGGGCTGCTAAGAGCACTTGAACAAGCCCCTTCTTTTGCAAGGGTGAAAGCAAACAACAACTTGGTTCCCACAGATCCTGTGCAAGAATCACCGACAGTCATAGCCTTCATCCTAACAGAGCAGTAAAAATTCATCTCTTGTCCTGACAAGTGCAGTGATATTATTGATTTACAAAGTCCTGGGTAAAACACAGGCTACTAGTGACACGCATCTCAAACTTACTCCTTTATTTATTCTGAGACTGCCCAAATGGACTTCTTAGCATAAAGCTGTAATAATTCAGCAATTAGCAAAAAGAAATCCACAGAAGCAAGAACTGAAGATGTGTTTGAACAAGTGTACTTCTCCATTGTCTATACGGATCCTGAAATGTATTTTTCTCCATTCCTCACCTTTACAAGGTAGGCCATCAGGCAAAAATGTAGCTTCCTCAACACATTCCTTCCCCAACTCCTACATTAATAGTGATCATACTTTCTGTGAGGTCAATGCAGATGTTACAATTCTAATAATCGCTTATACAACACCAAATTTAGCTTCTACAGGAAGGACAAAACCTTTTCCAAAGTTCAGAAGGGGGAGGTAAAATTAAAGTGACTGTGCATTGCAGGATTGCTGCATCCTTTGCAAGATGACAAAGATAATTAACCTGTAAACACACTGAGAAAAGATGACGTTAGAGACTCAGCATGCTTACTTCATGTGATCATGGATACCAGGCTAAATTCCCCTGTAAGTCAGTTTGTGACTAATGTAATGACACTAGGAATTATACTGTGGCTTGCTGGTTCAGCCTAGCAGGTTCAGAAATAGCTTCTGAATAAATTACACTGACTGACCTACAAATCTGACCTATATGCTTGTTTTAACTTTGAAGGGCAAAACTCCCCATAATCAGTAATTACATGTAGTAATATGAAAGCTTTCACAATTCATGTATTTTTTAATATATGTAGAGTATACTGAAACCAGTAATTTTTTGTAACAAGTTTCAAAGTTCATCTTTATTTCATTTTAAAACCTTATTTTACATCCTCTATGAGTGTTTCTGTAACGATCTCAAGTGAACTATGGATCTATCACCATTACCCTACACTGCATTCATAAAATCATTTGCATTACTCAAATACTGTTAGCTGCATGCTAATTTTCTTGTCTCATGCCTAAAAGACTTTTACAAGGCATCAAACAAGGCCCACCTCACATCCTTTAGAGACTCCTTATTAAAATGTACCTTGAAAAACAAAAAATGCATATGCTATCAGTGAATAGCTGTATATCTTCACGTCTATTTTCTTTTGGAGTTCAGAAACAGTGAAAAAACAATTCAACCTATTTACATTTTTCTATATTAACTTTTTTTTAGTTTAAAATCAGAACAGATCTTCCACATCCCTCTTTGATCTGTTGCATACAAAATAACCGCGGCAAATAAGAGATTATCTACTCAGTCGCTTTAATTTGCCCTCCCTGTCCTTAGTGAAATTAGGGATAAAGCCTGACAGATCTCAAGAACTTATTACACACACAAAGATCACCCTTGGTTTGTGCTTTTTGGTTCCTTATGCCATATGGGGTGACCACATATCACAGTGATGACTATGATATATGAATTTAAAAAACAGTTAGGAGACAGAATTATGCCCCCACTTCTAATGAACTACCTACCTGCATGTTCTAAGCACCATTTAAGTGCTCAGTTATCAGAACTCATCTTAAAATCTGCCATTCTTAAAAAGAAAAGAAGTCTGATACTGCTGTATCACATGCATAGAGAATAAAAAATAGATTAATACATACCAGGGGCATACACACATAAATAAAAACTTAATTATAACATGAATCCACTACAGTAATGAATGCATTACAGTAATATTCTTTCTCAGTTTCACTGATTACTTCTAATTAACTGTGAATGCCAGGCAAAAATATTCTAACAGAACTACCTAAAATTCAGTGTCTGTACTACCCTCAACTGCAATGAAAATCGTAGGATAATGCCTTTCGGCCAGGTAGGACAGCAGTAGTTGAAGCAGATAAAAACCCAAATATCCCCATGTCCTGCACTGGAAGTTTTAAAAATTGAGGAAAATATAATTGGAAATAAGCATTAGGATAAAACTAAAATTAAAATCTTTAAGGTCCCTTCCAACCCAAGCGGTTCTATGATTCTGTGATAATGCATTCATCACTCACACACAGATTAGCAACTTTATTCCTTCAAACAGTTTTTTCTACAGTGCTGTGAATATTTCGATACTCCTTCTATTAACATGGTGAATGAAAAATAAATTAGGCCCTCAACATAGTGATAATCAAAATATTTGCCACATTTGGATTTTCTGGACGTAAGCAACCTATCTCCATCCTCACAATCAAAACAGCACAAAAAGCACATGCCAGAAGGGCAGTAAGTGCTGACAGAAGGTCCAACTACCACTGATCAATGCTTTAATATGAAGTAACTGCTTAAAACTATCAATCGCATTATTTATTCTTCATATTTTGGAGCAGAAAAATTTAACCATGATGGTAGAAGCCTCTCAAAACCACGTCTAAACACAGCAATGACAGCAGCAGAACAAACCCCTCACTGGTATCCACTAGCTTTAACAAAGCTCCGTCCACATTATGAAGCCCCTTCCTTATGACAGCCCCTCTAAACATAGTTGGTTTACACCTCAGTATCATTTTATCTGAGAGAAAGAGACATTAGCATAGCTATTAAGCATTAAGGGAATTCCTCACCTGTGCAAGTACTGTTTTAAATACGTTAGTACTATAAACGCGACGTCAATTATTTGTATTTCAAGCTGTTAAGATCAACCGTTCAAAGAGTAAAATTAAAACTAACTTAGGAATAGCATTTCCACACAGGTATTTTAACATTTAACAGGCATTTAACTCCGGTTAGTTGGATGAACAACATCCTGCACCATAACAGCACTCAGACAAACACTAACTGCAGGAGAAAATTAACCAAAGGTAAATTTTTGAATGATTTATGGCTGAGAAACATAAACTCGTAAAAAGCAACCAACTACGACACGTACACAAGACTCTACAATACATACCAGCAGCAAACCCAAGTGCAGAGGGTATACTTTATGTATTCAGAAGTTAATTAAGCCTTCCTGCATTGATTTAATTAATCATGTATGAATTAAAAGTAGAAGGTCCAGAAATGTTAAAGTTCATCTTCACTTACAAAACCCAGGAGACTTTTTTTTTTAACCATTACTGAAGCATTAAATACCTTCTTATATATTCAGGGAGTAAACAAAGCCTGTTTTAGCCTGAAAGACTTCCAGAGTCTGAGCTAAGTTTAATCCTGCTTTTAAACATCTGAGGGTATTTCTCACAAGACACCTCCCACAACCAAGCTAAAGTGCAAATTTACTTAGTCTATTGATTGGGTTTCAGAAGAAAAAGACAAGAAATTATAGCAAAAAATGTTAACTCAAAATGCAAAATTGTACACTGTGGTTTTGCAAGCCAAACACGTTCAGTTCAGCTTTAAAATATCTGCAGGTATGATTTTATGCAGAAATATGACATCATCACATTACCTAGATCTGAAATGCTTTAAAGGAAAAGCATAGAACCCGCTTTTCTCTTTCAAAGTATGTTTTATTAGAGATGATTATTTCCATCCTTAACCCTGAAGCAGATTTTAAGGAGTTATTTTTAATTCTTCCACGCAACAGGCACGGCAGTAACCTCCAAATCAAAAATGTACTTGCACAACCTCATATTTCTGACCAAAGAGTACATAATCATGAAGCTTCTACTGCTTGACATGCTGACTACAGAGCAATGTTAGTGTTTATCGTAGGCTGAGTTTTGAAATGTGAGTAGTGCACCAAGTAAGTATCAAACAGGACATACTGTACCAGCTGACACACACATTATGCACATGTCACTTTTGCGCTGGCTCAGCTGCAATTAGATCAAGGGAGGTGTGTGCTGCTAACTGAAAGTGTACTTATAAAGAATAAAACCACAAGAAACACAGAATTTATTTGAACAGCGTTCACAAACCTCAGCATATTTATATCTAATTATCAGTAGCCATTTAAAAAAAATCCTGCTTAGAGGTTCGGGAGTTAGGGGGGAGGTTGTAAAGAAGGTCTATATTTACACAATGACTCCTGATTCAGTGCCAAAGTTTACATAAATTCATCTCGGCTTCATTCACCTGTTTTTCAAACAGGTCCTACTTAGCTTTCCATCAGGGTTTACCATCACAGAAGTCTGCTCAAGGTTACAGTAGGCTATTAGATCCTCCTAAAAGTCACATAGACTTTTACACTTTTCATGTTAGAAATAAATACAACCACGCCAATCAAAATATACCATTTTGAGAACTATTTTCATATTTTATTTTTTTTTCAGGAAGAAGTCATACAGGCATGGAATACAGCAATAAACAAGGAGAAGAGATTAATGGAAGTGTTCTCAGTAGACAAGAGTGGGACAAATCTGGATCTGCCAAGGGCAAAGAAAAAAAATCAGTTTTGTGAACTTGCAAGATAAATGTATTCATTTATCAGAACTTTAGCTGTATGTGTGAGAAAGAAGGAGTAAATACCAGCTGCTATAGCTGGCATGCTGACAGGACCATGTACGTGGTCCTACAGAGATGTCCAAAGTCAATCATAAAACATAATCAATTAGAGCCATTAATGAATATATAGATCAGTGTTAACCAAAGCAATTGAAGAGAAGGGCTAAAGGTCCGGAGAACACCATTTTAGCTGTACCACAGCCTGCCAGGTGTTTAGTACAAAGCAAAGTGTGGAAAGAGATGTTGGCGTTTTTAATTCGGATTCAGGAAAACCTATCTAAAGCAAATGCCTGGTTCTGACAGCTGCTGCCACTGAAATAGACTGCCTACAGATGACAGTACCTAAAAATAAGGTGCTGGGAGGGAACCAACCCCCCAGAAAATACCACCAAAACCTCCTCCAAAACCAACACACAAAAAAAGCTACCAAATCTCAGACACTGAGAACAAGATGGAAAGAGAGACTAAAGGTAAAAGCAGACATTAGGAGAAAAAACACCAAGAGCACAAGACTCCAAATAACCCCCACCAAAACAAAACAAAACAAAACTATAAAAAAGGAAGGAGCAATCCTGGCGGTCTTAAGTTTCTCTGGCAGTTCCAGTAGGACAAATGTTTTATTTATGGCGTAACTGGGAATATAATGAAATATTTGTCATGAAAGACACTGTACTCCTGTAAATCGTTCAGAAGTCTGTGCATGATTTAGCTACCAATTTTTAATTACAAGGTCGCTTGAACTGTGCCATTTAAGCCTATTGAGATTCTCTAAGTATTCTTTCAGGCAAATCAGAAGGAAAGAATAATTTTTGTATTTATGGCTTCCCCCCACCTGTTTAGAAAATCAGGCTATTAGTTTTTCCATACATTTGCCATATCCCCTTCCAATAATTTGCTGAATTATTCTACTGTTACCCTCTTATAACAGGCCTCTTACATAACTCACTGCGGGAATACATTTGAAATTCGGTACTACAACACTACCATGGGGGAGGGCGATCAGTTTCCCAAAAGAGTCTTCATTTTCTCTTATGCACTTACATGTTAAGCATACAATTCAAGTGATACAAAAAAATCAATGCTTTTTTATAATTCTTTAACTTTAGAACATTTAATTCATTAATTGCTGTATTATTAACAGCAATTTGATTTAGCTTCAAGCTCTTCCTCAAGTACCTGAGACTAAACTTCCAGAACTCTTCCCTTTAACTGAAAACAGCTTGAAAGTTACATTTAACACAACCTGAAGCATACTTCTATCCATGAAAGTCTACCAATATGTTTGGGGGCTATGCAATCTATGCAGTTCCTACCCGCCTAAAAGCACAAATTACAAGCTACTTTCATCAACTATGACACAAATGAGCTAAACAAAGTAAGTAAATAAAGTTTAATTCTGTGGTTATAAAATGTCTCACTATAGACATGTAATCCCTAAAAGCTGAGTTATTGTTCTTTTGGTTAAGAAACAAAAAATTATCCGGACAGTGGGGATACATTAAGTAAAATAGCCAGTAGTAAAAAATGCGTAGCAAAACCTGCAGTACTCTGGGATGCATCTCCTTTGCTAAGCATGAACTCTGCTCCAGCTTTTAGTGTTACACCCTTTTACGATTAATTTAAGCCTGTAATTGAAGAAAAAAGTGGGAAAAGAGGGCATCTTTCACCAAGGAGACATGAGTATATGGAATTTTGGGTACAGCAACATAATTAATGTCACAGCAAAACTGCTGAATCTTCAGGATTCTAAAGAAAACCTGTAGAATCACAGAGGTGCAGAGAGCCCATCACCTCCTGCCTCACCCACTGTCAATGGCATTCATTTCCACCCAGCTAAAGCTCCTGACCACGCAGTGCCACTTAGTTTACTATTCACATTCACTTAACTGCAGCTTGATGCACAAGCAGCATCACAATACTTTCCGCTGTCACTAGCAAGAATGTTTTGCCATTAAACAATGAGGTTTGTATATATGTATTTACACATATACACACACAACTCATCTTGTAAACTTGGAAATCTCTTATCTACCTACGTTGTAATTTTCTCAGGAAATCTGAATGACTTGGGCATTTATTCTAATATTGTACCCAAAGTGAAACATGAAAGTTGCACCTATTGAAAACACCCTGCTTGCTTTTCTATTTAACAAGCAGCTTCCCAAAACATAAAAGGGGAAGGACAGCAAACTGCAAGGTAAATGCAGCTTCATTCTGCCTTTTATGTGATAGAGTGCCATTCAATTCAAGCTTTGCAGCATTAAGCCACACCTGCTTCAGCCTTAACATACTTTCAACCTTCACACACATCTACTTGTTTTTCATGTTCAAAAACCTTGTTATTTCTGGGCTTTGACTTCCAAACATCGTGTTCAAAATATTTTGGATTAGACAGACCCCATGGTATGAAAAACAAAAAACAGCAAGGACTGTAAGCTGTTAACTCCTGAAATAAACAAAAAAACAAATGCAACAGGTACTTACAATAGTTTTTCCCTAAGAATTTAGTATCCAATCAGACCAAGTTCAGTAAAGATTAATCAAAGCAGATACTGGTTTCATCTCTATTTCCCACCAATCCTTAGAACAAATCCCAGCATTTACATTCTTGTTGGTAGAAAAAGCAAAGGTTAAAAATCCTCTTTTTCACGTAACTTTCAGCATTGTTTATGAAGGCAGAATGCCAAAATTGGGATTAAAAGAAACATTTAATTCTGACCCTTGGCCAAGAAATCCAAATGAAAATACATTCTAAAGCTGAAGAGCTTAAAGGTCAGGGAATTCCTGAAATTCAGATGTTTTACTGAAACTAGCAAGGGACAGTAAGACTGGGGAAACTCCAGCAGATCCCAAGAGGGCGAAACAAAATCCTGTAGTTAAAAACTAGAGGGCAGCAAAAAGGAGGACTAACTGCAGACAGAATAAGATTCAATGATCCAGGTTTCTCTTCTCTCTCCCAGGAAATTCTGCATCTGGTTATTAATAGGATTTTCTGAAACTCTCCAGCTCCCTGCAGCCGTCTCACCCACCCTGGGAGGATGGCGGCAGACACAGCACAACTATCACAGGTACACAGAGGCCTGAAATGAAATCCATCTTCATACTTCAAAAACTAAGATATGAACACACATATTCTTCCTCTTCTGGTAACAAATGCAAGTCTGCCTCATATCAGTTGGAGCAGCCAAAAAAATTCCACAAGCAAACAACCACCCTCAGCAGAACTCTTTCACTTTTGCTTATGGTTACAAACGGCAAGGTCAGAGGAGGTAGAGAACAATCATTAACTTGTTCCTTTGCCTTCTTGGCCAATGCTGTAGGTACCAAGTTTTCTATGGCAAGAAGTAGCTGGGTGTTTAAAGGGCTGCAAAGAAAACTGTAAAGCCATCAAGTAGATAGAAAAATGAAGCACTTAAGAAAATGAAAAACATCCAAGTAAAAGCTTAAGCAACAAATCCATCACAGAAAACCCTGATTTCTTAGAAGGAATACTTCACTGTCGTCTTCTCTGTTATGCGCCGATATATTTCTTGACAAACAAACAGCAGACTGAGTTAATATATATTCTACTGCCCTCTGTTAAGGTACTAAATTTTCAAGAAGTATTTGACACAAAAGTTGTTTTTCCCCCCAGTTGTTTGCTTTTTCTTCTAAATTGGTCTGTTGTGAGATCTTGCAGTTTCTAACTGTTCTTTTAAGAAACAAACTCTTCCTTAGCTATATGAAGCACTAAAATCACAGTGTTAAGATTGTAGCA